TTCTAAAATAATAATCAAACCTGATCAAACCTAATGAAACCTAACCCAACCTAACCTAACCTAACCTAATCTAGCCTAACCCAGCCCAACAGGACCTGGTAAAAAAGCAAATTGCGTCCCCGACCAAAAAATGAGAGCGAAAAATGACCCCGACCTTTTTACGATTCATGTATGCAGGCTGCATGCAACTACGATGCGCGTTTCCTTAGGTTTCATTTCTATATTATTTTTTTTTACGAGCAGTCATATGTACTAAATTGCTTATCAGACTCGCGCTTCGAAATTTCCAGTTTGTTAATTAAATGTCACGGCATCACTCGGTCAGCGGGTAGCGTAACAGACGATGAACCCGGAAAGGGTAGGGGGCGCTACGATCGTCGAACAGATGCAATAGGTGTCGCTATTGTATCGGTAGCTCACAACGACGACGGCTAGAAACTATCGACCCCGCATGAATTTACCATGTCCAACCGGTCTGACCCCGGTTCCGAATCTAGTCGTTTGTCTAGTCGTATAGCTGGCTACAACTGGTCGTCAATCAACCCCGCTTGAAATAGCACAGCCGACAGCGGGGTCGGTGTCTAAGCGTCTGTTAGTAAGTGTTTGATCATCTAGTTTGATTTAGTTTTCGTTAGCAACTGTCGACGGTAGTTTTGCTGTTAACGGAAGTGAGTTGTGGCTACTACTATGGACGTCAAACCCCTTGAGACCCCACTTTTTTGCGATAATTTTTAAATGTGTCAACTCTCGTTGACAATATTCTGGCAATGTGTGTTTCAGAACCTGCCGAAACTTTTATTACTAAGGTATTTTGACACCAAACGATTATGAAAGGTACTTCTCATTCACTCGTAATGTTAAATTTCACGGAACGAATCTGCTGTTTGGGTAGAGGCTACGCGCTCATGAGGCGGAGCCACGTAATGACGTCAGCGCTAAGCTCCGCCCTACCCCTCCGGCGCTCCTTGCCCGGCGGCCGGTCACTCGCGCCTCTCGCTCCATTCAGGCTTGATGGTGGGCGGTAGCTGGTAGCGGTAGCGGGCGCTGATAGATGACATTAAGAGCAGATGGCGCTGGTGGCGGGGCTCGAGTGTGGCCGAGCGCAAGCCTCTGCCCGGGCCTGAATTGACCTTAGCATTACGAGTGAATGAGAAGTACTTTTCATAATCGTTTGGCGTCAAAATACCTTAGTAATAAAAGTTTCGGCAGGTTCTGAAACACACATTGCCAGAATATTGTCAACGAGAGTTGACGCATTTAAGAATTATCGCAAAAAAGTGGGGTCTCAAGGGGTTTGACGTCCATAGTAATTGTTCATAACCATATTGTAGGTATGTATTAGGTATAGGGGCTTTTTATGTCCTTGTTAAAGGGGATATACGTTGTGGATTCAATGATATCTTTTACTTGCGTTTAGTTTCTGCTTTAGGTATTTGAAAGTTATTTAGGTAGGGGAGAGTGGGGTAAGATGCCCAGGGTGGGAAAGACGCCCCACCCCCTCTAGCGGCGAAACAAAGAATCGAACCTAGAAATTAATGTTCTTAGCGTAAAGCGGAAGCCTGCCTTGTTAACTGCACAAAAATTTGCGAAGCTCGGTTGGGCAACGGCTGGCTGGTGATTGCATGTTTTTTATTTGCTGTTTTAAAAAATATTTTGGTGTCAAAACATTGTAAATATCAAAGAAGGTAGATAATATTTGCGTCCCTTGCTATAGTCGTGATGCATCAACATGCGTGCACTGTGTCCCAAACAGTTTGTTTCAGGGTGTAGTTTTATGGCTAACAAATTGTACTGATTTAATGTTACTTCGGTACCTTGGGGTAAGATGCCCCTTGTCCTGATGGGGAAAGACGCCCCCCCCCCCCCTAAATCCGTAGGCTGTCCTTCAAGCAGCCCGTCAAATCATTTATTACATTTTTGTGATGAGAGACAGAAGCCGATCTGGGACTATTGAGAGTCCAGTACGGTCGGGTGCTCCCCATGCCGGTCTCTCGGCCCACACAGCGACTTTTTGGGCGGCATCTGACTCTGAGAGCCCTCACGACGGCCTCTGTGGGCCCCATTATTGGCTCCAGGGCCCCTCACGACATCCTTTGAGGGCTCCCACGTTGGCTCCACGGGCCGCGCTGGCATCTGAGGTCCCCACGATGGGCTCGAGGGCCCTCAAGCATCATGAAGACCTATAAGGGCCCCACAGTGGTCTCCGAACGCCACCACGGAGGCTTGTGTGGCCACGCTGGACTATGATGGCCCTAACGATGACCTCTGAAGCCCCTTACGACTACTTTTGAGGGCCCTTACGATGACGTTTGGTGTCTACTGCACACTGAAAACAATTCAACCCGCGGATTGCGAGTTGGCCCGGGTATCGCGGGTATTTTGAAGAAATTACCCGCTCTGCGCGAGTTTTTGCTGCCGGGTAGGCTGACTACCCGTTTAGCTTCCCGCGTTTCGCAGAGCATCCCGTTATCATCGTAGCTTGCACCCGCTTCAGGGGTGTCAACGCCCGCTATACTCGGGTAAAACAGCAACCCGTCATGCGCGGATACATGAAACCTCCTCTGGCGGGGTCAATCACTCGTCCGCAGCGGGTTGTGGCCGCAGGCGTTACTCGCGCCCACGGAGTAAGCGCATCACGCAGGTTTTGCATCGTGTAACTCGCTGCGCCAAGGTAGGTGACATGCTATACGCAGGTTGCCTTGATCACGCATGTGTCATGGCAGATATCCCACTGATGCACGGCATTGGTTTTGAAATTAATACTTTTGACTTCGACGCTCAAACGAGTGTTGAAATGTGACGCGCCACAATAGTCGCTTTTCGGCTCGGCTGCGTGCTTGTGCAGGCCTTGTGCAGGGGTAGAGATGTGCAAGGCAATTGTAATCGTAACTGTAACAGCTGTGGGGCTGCGTTCTGTGAGTTAGGAGGGTACTTAACGGGCTTGGGACATTTGAATCATTGTTTGGATGACGTCACGTCTTGGCCGGCAGAATATTTCGCTGGAACGCTCAGCAGAATATTCTGCAGTCCGCGAATCTGGCGCATTGTGGTGAAGTTTGCAGACCGTTCTTAGCACATTTTATTGGTAAAAATAAGCCTGGATAAATAAATATTTCCCGATGCAAATGAAATATTTGTCCAAACTATTCCTTAACCCATTTACGCCCTTCGTTGCGTTTTCGCAACACAAGCAAGCGTCGACGTGATCAAATTTTGAGAAGTGTGTAATGGCGTCTCACCGATGAGACAAGTTTCAGCGCGTTTAGCATGGTTGCGCGCATGATGCTACGCAGTTACAAGTCTGTGCGGCCGGTAACTTACCGTCCAGAGCTCCCAGAGGGATGTCGAAGGTCCCGTCAGTGATGACGTCACGAAAACCAAAATAAGTAGATTAAGTGATTAATTATATCGTAATGAATAATGTGTGAACATATTCTGCAGAGTCCCTACGATAGCTAGAATATGCAGTTTTTTAACAAATTCTGCTGCAAATAGGGTTTGTGACTATTTTCAAATATGACTACAGTCGTGTTGCGGTAACGCAACGTTGGGCACATCGGAAAGACAGGGGTGTTGCGAAAACGCAACGAGGGGCAAATTGGCAGGGCAGCGGAAGTATAGGAACATCAAATAGACTTCACTTGTGATACGTTGTGGGTTCTTTCCTTCTCTCCCCAATCTTCCTCCCTCTCTTCCACGCTCCCCCAACTCTCTCTCCTTCCTTCCCTCCCTCCCTCTCTCTCTCTCTCTCTCTCTCTCTCTCTCTCTCTCTCTCTCTCCCTCTCGTTTTGTAGTCGTGAGGGATGTGTAGGTATGTAAAGTGCAAGGTGCATTTGCACGTGAATGTTGCGACACGTTTCACATTAACTCACTTAAACAGCTATCAAACACTCATTTCTTTTTCTCTCGCAGATTATCGGGCTGTTCACTAAGCAATGGGTTTTCGAGCATCTGAAAATCGCATGGTAGGAAAAGGACCTGCATCAAACGGTCGGCGATGCTAACGGAGCTGAGAGATAGCGAGGTACTTTGAAAATTGGATCTACTTTGTACTAAATAATGGGGACGTAGTCTGGTATCAGACGACAGATAGGCATTGTCATTCTTTGGATACAATCCGCTGGCCCTTACGTTAGAAAAGATAACTCCCAGAGTCGGCAAATGTGGGATATGCCCCCTCGGGGGGGGGGGGGGGGGCAACAGACCCCTTCGGCAAGGGTGATGAGGGCGTCTGGAAAATAATAGTTTATTTTTAGAATTCATGGTTTGCACGGATTGATAAGATGGTTGATGTGAAGCATTGCTTGTTTGTTTACTGAGGGTAGGCCTTTTGTCTAATTAGACCATTTTAGAGCTGGAAGCATTATTGGAATTACGGAAAACATTGGTGTGAGCGGGGCCCGCTCAGCGTCGTCGAAACTGAGCCCATCCATCCAGGCACCCATGAACCAGCCCCCCCCCCCTTCCCAAGCACTTTCTGTATCCGGCTACAGACCTGTGCTCCTATGTGAGCTGCTCGAATGCGATATAGTTGCCCGTCCAGCTCGAAACAGGGGTTGAGGCATGAAGGAGAAGGATTCTACTATCCTGAAGATGGAAAGGACGGATTGACGGAACACTTGGAAACTGTGAACTGCGTCGAATCACCAGTCTGCCCTGGCATTGTCTCGAGAAAGAGGTTACAAGTGTGAAGGTCGCTGAGAGTGGGACAATGAAAATTTTGGATTAGGTGTTAAAGTGATAAATGGGTCCTGGGAGACACTTCAAGCCGAGTTGTTATGACGCGCTGCGACTTACGCGGGTAATTTGTGAAAGCCGGATAGGTTCATTTTTTGCTAAGAGTGGGCACGACTACCCTGCATTTGAATTTGTCTTTACTCCTAGGAGGGTGGTTAACAATGGTATTGCGGATAGGCGCTCAGGCGAGGCACTGGTTTACTCCCAATCCTCGGTTAAATTGTTTTCACTTTGGGGTTCACATATGAGAGGGTAATGGGCTAATGGCTCTGTCTAACTTCCAAAAAGAAAGCACCGCCCAGGTACGTGCCGACCACTAGGTACTTTAAATGGACAATTGTTGTTGATAATGACCGTTTGTTGCCATCTACCCGTTCGCGAACCCTTAAGTTATGCTCCCTCATTGAGGCTCTTAGACGGGTAATAAAGCATGAGGGATGTCGGTTCCGCATTCTCAAGCAATATTTTTCAACAGTTGGTGAAATATATGTTAAAACAAACTAGCATATACGGCGTTTAGTGTACTTTATGTCCGTCTGATGTGCCCGTCGTTGCGTTTTCGCAACGCTGATGGCGCCCGGTGTGCCCTTCGTTGCGATTTCGCAACGCACGTTTTTTACGTTTTTCTCGAAAAACTTTTGCTGCCGGCAAAAATTATTTTCGATTCCATGCAAGGCCCTGGTAGAATCGTAACATGTATTGATTTCATCAATTTTCATGATGGTCAATATTCCTGGGCATAAATGGGTTAATATTTAAAACACTATAGGCGGATTCATGTCAATTGTCTAAGATAAGCCTTTTTACTTTCTGTATTGAGACCGCCGTCAGTTCTTCATTTTAATCTGATATACACCGACATTTCAGTCGCTTTGAGTCAGGTCGCCTGTGGCGCAGGTGGTAGCGCATCGGTTTGTAATGTCAAAGATATCGGGTTCGAATCCCGGCGATGGCGGCGTTTTCCTCCTTGAACGCCGCCACTGGAGGGTACTTTACCCTCCAGCTGATTTGGACACCCTACCAGCGGATATTTGTACTCGCAGAAAGCGAGTTCCCAACCCACGCAGCGCAGGTAATACGCCATGTGCGGATTGTGTACCCGCTGCGAACGGGTAGGTTGCCTTCTGTGTGTGGATTGAGTCCCCATCCTATGCGGGTTAGGTACACAATATACTCGGGTTCACAGCCTGCGATATGCGGGTAAACGCACCCGCTGGTAGAGTGTCAAATTAGGTGGTGGGTAGGTGTACCCGCCAGCAGCGGGTTTTACTCGCTGTACGCGGGTTGAATTGTTTTCAGTGCAGGCTCGAAGGGACTACTGATTCGTTCAGGCGATTCACGTGCCCATTTATGTCATTTATAGTGCAGGGGGCATCTTCCCCAACGCCAGGGGGCGTCTTTCCCACCCTGTGGGGTAAGATGCCCCCTTTCACTTCTTCAGGAAAATGCTCAATAGCAAAAAAAGTTATCATATTTCAGGCACGAAAGTGTGATCTTTTTGGAGAAAAATGATGTCGGCTTCCGTTGAAACTCCAAGTTTTTGCTTTCCGATCGTCATTTTCGAATAATATATGACATAGTAAAACCCTGGGCATCTTTCCCCACTCTCCCCTACCTATTACTGTAAAAGTTTACTAAATGTGGTAATTTTGACCCCGGGTACTTGAACTTTTACTGGTACTGTGTCCCCGACGACGTCAATAGGACATAACACTTTACCAGCCCTGCAGCCCAACTTAACCCAGCCCAACAGCAACACAGCCTATGATGTTTTTTTCATTTCAAAGATAGAAGTGTTGGAAATGTCAGTGCATCAGCGATTCTTTTCAATATTCTACTTTCGATATTTTGTCTTTTCGATATTCTCCTTACCGATAATTTGTCTTTTCGATATTTAGCATTCGATATTTCGTCTTTTCGACATTCTGCTTTCGATAATTTGTCTTTTCGATATTCCGCTTTCCATATTTTGTCTTTTCGATATTCTGCATTCTATATTTTGTCTTTTCGATATTTTGTCTTTCGATATTTTGCCTTTTCGATATCTTGCCTTTCGATATTTCGTCTTTCGATATCCTGTCTTTTCGATCTTTTGTCTTTCGATATTTTGTCTTTCGATATTTTGCAGCTTCGATATTATGCTATTCGATATTTTGCGATTCGATATTTTGCCATTTCGATATTCTGCTTTTCAATATTTCGCAACTTCGATATTTTTCCATTTCGATATTTTTCCATTTCGATATTTTGCTTTCGATATTTTGTCACTTCGATATTTTACCTTCGATATTTTGCGATTCGATATTTTGAATTTCGATATTTTGTCCGGAACCCTGTTCGAACACCCCCCCCCCCCCAACAGGGTGTGGAAATCCAGGACCCCCAGCGGGGAGCGGGATACGATGTTGCTCCCATGGCATTAGGGTGGGTGTCAAGGTCACCGGAAGGTCAGGTCAGGTCATTTACCTTTGATGACTTCGGTTCAGTTTTTTTGAATTTTTCATGTTTCTGGCTTCTGGGCTAGTTTTTGGACCTGAATTCACATTCAGCATTAATTTGACATTAATTTGTCTTGGTGCCTTCGTAACACGTTACGAGGCCTTCAGAGGCGGATAACACGTCACCTACTACGAATACCCGGCAAAACCCTTACTAGTGACCTGATCTGACCTGACCCGACTTGGCCTAAATGCATGAAGACATCATCTATGATGGCATAACTATAACATGATATTCGTGATCTGCACCCCAAAAAAACACATAGCAGCCATGCTATACGACGTTCTGATAGGTCCTGATTTCCCCGACTTTTGGGTCATTTACCTGACCTGGAAGGTCGACCGATGATCTAGGGCCTTAACCCTCGCCCGTAAACGGCGATCTGCCACCTTCGCCCATGCAGGGGGGGGGGGTTGGTGCGACCCCCCCTTGGCGTTTGAAAACGGAGCGTCGTAGAGCTTAGCGGAAAAAACCAACGGATTGCTCTCAACGAGATCTCGCGATTGGTGGTATATTTTTTGGTCCTAGGTCAACATTTGACCTCTTTTTGACCGGTCAAAGGTCAAATTTTCGAAAAAATAGACTTTTTCAACTTTCCGCGGCGATTGCGGCAAAACGGTGAGAGATATCGACTTGAAACCTTCACTATCGTGTTCCTTGATCAATTCTCTATCGTTTGGTATGAATTTCGTTTCCCTGGCTCTAAAAATGGCGCGTTGGGAGCGCCGGAAGTCGGCAAGGTCACAGTCGGCGGCAGAAATTCGAAAAATCAAAATTTAAATTTTTGAAATCTGATTGTATTTTTGGATTTGGGAGGTCCATTTGCTCCCTATAGAAGCTAATATTGCTGCATATTCCCATTGAGGTGACAAGAATTAGCAACATAGTGGTTCGGGCGCTTTTCAAAAATAGTACCGGACGCTGTTCCTCTTGTGACGTCATAGCTCCGTGACCTGACATGACCCGGTCAATTTTTTTTTATCAAAAGATGCGCAAGGTTTGCCCCATAAGGTACCCAAAATTTGGCGGCGCTGCGCGCCGCCGTTTTTGCACTATTTCCGAAAAGCCTCAGGGGGGGGGGTGCACCAACCCCCCCCCCTACATGGGCGAGGGTTAAAATTGGGTATCAACGGCTTTCTGACGTGACGGGCAACACGCTCGTTTTTACCGTGAAGTTCTAGCTCGATCAGGGGCCAAAGGCGAGGGGGGTCGTACCCCCCCCCCCCCGTGTGCCGTCGAAGGACGCAAAATGACCTGTGCCGGCGAGGGTCGGGTCGAGGTCAGGACAGTGGTCTAATCGTGCGAAGGGAGAATAGACCTGGGATGGAACTTCCACATTAGGGAAACGAATTAGGGTTTTTTGACTACCATGAAACGTCACGGATGTAGGTATGTATGTGTTTATGATTGTTGTCCCCTATCCAAGGAATGACACTTTCTGGCGGACCTGAGGGTGTGGCTGACCCGAGACCTGTACTTTCCGCTCAGGAGGTGCGTCCCCTCATGGACCGCCTGTGCGACGAGCTGAAGGGTCTGAAGGAAGCCGTCATAACTCTGACGGAACAGCAGTCGCCGCCGGCGGCCGGCCCGCACACCCGGCCCCAGAGTTCCGCGGAGCTGCGGGACGCGGTGCTGGCCGACGTTCGCGGCATGCTGAACGAGGAGCTGCGGCAGCTGCGCCGAGAGCTGCAGAAGCTGAGCGTGAGTCAGGGGGACGTTTCATTGTGTTTGTCTTGTTGAGACGCATCGACTGATATGCATCATGACCTTTTCCGGTAAGGTCATGACCTTGACCTGAGGTCAAATTTTGAAGTTACCCTTCAATATCAAATTATAGTTCTTTCGACGCGCCTCGACGAGGGGAACACGATTCTGTTAACCCGCGCCCTGGTGTGGGTCTGAGCCACCTTCGCCCTGGTGGGGGGGGGGCCAAAATGACCCCCCCCGTCTAACTCGAAAACGAAGAGGGCTAGGAAGACGCGGAAAAAAGCAAACGAAAGCCCATAACAAGTACGTTCGAAAGTATTTCGGTCATTTTTTCGCTAAGGTCAATATTGAGGTCGCTAGAGGTCATCATAGGTCAAATTTCAGTGTTTTCGGTGTTGCCGGACATATTCCGCTGTAGCTCGGAAACTAGAAGAGCTAGAGAGCCGCGGAAAAAAGCAATCGATAGCTCTTTTCAAGCTCTTTCGCCAAAGTTCGTCAGATTTGACCTCAGCTCAACGGTTTGGCCTACAGAGGTCATGCAAGGTCAACTTGGCAAATTTCTTTGAAAATGTTTTTAACTATAGCATGCATTCACGAGAAAATAGAGAAACGATTCATGCACCATCGTGCTTGGCTCGTCGAGACGCGTCGAATGATATATAGTTTGACCTCGAAAGGTCATTTTGAAAATTTGACCTCAGGTCAAGGTCATGACCTTACCGAAATAGGTCATGCTGCATATCATTCGATCCGCATTGACGAGACAAACACGATAAACGTCGAACGGAGTCTCTATCTCTATTCAATAACAAGTAAGTGCAGAAAAACCGCTGGTGACCTCTGGTGACCAGGGAGATGACCTAGCGTGACCTCAGCGAGGTCACAAGCAAATGGTTTCACATGGGCTGTGATTTGCTGACCCAAGACACTTCAATAACGAAATATAGGAACAATCACGCCCGATTTAGCTGAAAAACAACTACTTTTCGATTCTCCCATTGACTTATAATGGGGAGCAGCGATGACCTGACCTGACCTTAGGTCACATTTATAAAAAAATCCGAGATAGCCATTTTGTAGAGCTGGGTGACATCTTCAAGTACTGTAAATTTTACATCGATCGGATAAAAGCTGTGCCTTTGAGAGAGCTTTGAACTTTTTTAGAGGTGGTGTCAGTTTTGGTGACCTTGTGACCTGACCTGACCTGACCCGAACCCCCCAAAAAAGGACATGATGTAAAAATGTTGAATAAACAGCTATACAAAGTTTCAGGGCGCTAACTCAAGTGGTTTCTGAGTTATCGCTGAAAAACCACAGGGGGGGCCAAAATGGCCCCCCCCACCAGGGCGAAGGTTAATAAAAATGCGGTGGCTTTTGGTAGTCGAAAGTTATTGTCGAAAAACACTTTTCGTAAAAACAGCTATTTTTGGAGTTTTTGCCCTCTGGAGGCTAAACCGTTGACCTGAGGTCAATATTGATAACGACCTTTTCAAAAGAAGAGTTCAAAAGCTATCGATTGCTTTCTATGCTTTTTTCTAGCTACCATAGTTCCTGAGATAGCGGCATGTTTTCTGAAAATATCATGACAATTGGCAAATTTTGACCTTTGATGACGTGTGGTGACCCCAATGTTGCTCTAAGGTGAAAAATGACCGAAATACTTTCAAACGTACGCATTGAGAGCTATCGACTGCTTTTTACCGCGTCTTTCTAGCCCTCTTAGTTTTTGAGTTAGAGGTGGGTGGTAACATAATACATATGCCCCCCCCCCCCCCCCACTAGGGCGAAGTTGGCTGAGACCGCAACTGGGGCGCGGGTTAAAAACTGAGCTCTTGGGAGCGATTCCAATGGTTCAATGTTTTGCGGCGAAATCGGCCGAACATGACGTCACTCTGACGTCATTTCCGGCCGACCTATGATAAATACGAAGTTGAAATTTAAAAAAAGTATCAAATTGATGCAGCCGAAGGTACTGAAAGCTTGGCGGCGATACGTCAAGCGGTTTAGAAGCTATTGCAGAAAACCCCCAGTGCAGTGGGTCGCGGATTGAAGGTGTTGACCTCGGGTCGAGGTCAGGACAGTGGTCTAATTGTGCGCAGGGAGAAGAGACCTGGGATGGAACTTCCACATTAGGGAACCGAATTAGGGTTTTTTTGACTACCATGAAACGTCATGGATGTAGGTATGTGTTAACCCTATTAGTGGCAGGCTCCTGGCTACCCCATATTAGTGGCAGGGGGGGGGGGGGGGGCTGTTTACGACCCCCCTTGATATCTCGAGATCTAACCGGCCGATTTTCACAATTCAAACGGCATTCGATTTGGCTCAACGAGATCTACATTTCTAAAAAAAAGTCAATAGGGGGGTAGAGGGGGGTAAAAACAGGCAAATTGCAGATACATTTTAGACTGTTTATCACGGCCAGGTTTCTGAACCAATCTTAACGCAACTTCTGCCGATCGATAGAGAATGAACCAGGAATTCACATGGATCCTAAAAATATGCATTTTCAAAAATCATAGGCGGATACAGATCATTGAGATTGGGGGTACACAAAAAGTATAGTAAATAAGGTTTTTGTTGGTACTGTTTCTAAAAAGGGTGGCAATGGTCTTGTTATGCATAGGCGTAGGAACGTTTTCGAAAGTGGGGGGGCCAGGGTCCCAGAGATCCAAAACCTAACCTACCCCCAAAATCCGATTTCTCCTCGGATTTCGGCCACTTTGTTTTCGCAAACATGCTCAGAGGTAAAAAAAATAGAGACAAAAAAAAGAAAAAAATTGGTTGAAATTTCAGGGAGTCTCCACTCTCCCGTCCATAAACTCAAACTGATGGACGCGTTCCCCTGTCCTCCGCAGCCGTTGGCACCCATGCAAATTCCAGAGGCATCCAGCAACTTTTTCATTACGAGCAAGCGTGAAACGTGCAAAGCGAGTCTTTTCAATATACCTATAAAAATCAGCATGAACGGCCAGCTAGGCTCAGCCAGGCCTATAACGTTTTAACCCTCGCCCATGTAGGGTGGGGTTGGTGCAACCCCCCCCCCCTGAGGTTTTTCGGAAATAGTGCAAAAACGGCGGCGCGCAGCGCCGCCAAATTTTGGGTACCTTATGGGGCAAACCTTGCGCATCTTTTGATAAAAAAAAATTTGACCGGGTCATGTCAGGTCACGGAGTTATGACGTCACAAAGGGAACAGCCTCCGGCCGGATTTTCACAAACTGAGTGCCAACGCCCGAGGTTTCCTGCCGGTGGTACGGACATCGGTTGATGGATCGTGATGAAACTTCCCATGCATGTTGGGGCAAGTATTGGCTATCATATGGTATAAGAAACTTGACCGGGTCAGGTCAGGTCACGGAGCTATGACGTCACAAGAGGAACAGCGTCCGGTACTATTTTTGAAAAGCGCCCGAACCACTATTTTGCTAATTCTTGTCACCTCGATGGGAATATGCAGCAATATTAGCTTCTATAGGGAGCAAATGGACCTCCCAAATCCAAAAATACAATCAGATTTCAAAAATTTTAATTTTGATTTTTCGAATTTCTGCCGCCGACTGTGACCTTGCCGACTTCCGGCGCTCCCAACGCGCCATTTTTAGAGCTAGGGAAACGAAATACATACCAAACGATAGAGAATTGATCAAGGAACACGATAGTGAAGGTTTCAAGTCGATATCTCCCACCGTTTTGCCGCAATCGCCGCGGAAAGTTGAAAAAGTCTATTTTTCCGAAAAATTTGACCTTTGACCGGTCAAAAGTAGGTCAAATGTTGACCTAGGACCAAAACATATACCACCAATCGCGAGATCTCGGCGAGAGCAATCCGTTGGTCTTTTCCGCTAAGCTCTACGACGCTCCGTTTTCAAACGCCAAGGGGGGGGGTCGCACCAACCCCCCCCCCCCTGCATGGGCGAAGGTGGCAGATCGCCGTTTACGGGCGAGGGTTAAGAGGTTTTATATCAGCGACCACTGCAACTGGGCTGATTGACTTTCACTTATCAGAGGCCGGTGTGGGACTTTTAGACGGTCTGGGCCTTCAGAGGCCAGTTTAACCCTCCACGGCCCGGTCCTATAGGTTTTCTACATATGCGCTGGCCGAGGGGGCGGAAGGCGGGTACGACCCCCCTCGCCGTTTCGCCCCAGGTGGAGCTAGCGCGTCGCGGTAAAACGAGCGTGTGCGCCGTTACGAGACGCAGAGATCGATACCCGATTTTATGGTCCTAGGTCAACCAGTGACCTCTGACACCGTTCCGTGCTTCTATCCTCAGGATACTGAAATCCTTCTCCTCCACACCGCAACCCCCTCCGGGCTGGACAGGCAACTTTATCTCATGCGGGCTGCTCCCTTGGAGCGGCACCGCTGCTCCCGAGGGAGCGCACCCCGTAGCCGGGTGCAGTGAGTGCCTTGGGGCTGGGTGGCCTGTCCTCTGGACGGGCTCAGCCCCGGCGACTCACTAGGGTGCCTGCCCAGACCAATGTCTCCCCCTATGTATATCCTATCATCCTTCCGACTCTGAAATGGTCTCATTGGACTGAAAGGGCCTAACCCAGCAAAACAAACAAAAACCGGTGACCTCTGAGGTCAGGTCAAGTGCCTCAAGGCACGGTTCCGTTTTTGGTGAATAACTTCGCAAAAAATGGCCGCAGAGCCGCGATTTTGCCAGCATCGTGTTCGCCTCTCTCAGGCGCGTCGAATGATATACTTTTTGTTTGGGTGAGGTAAACTTAGGGTGTTGACCTCGGGTCACGGTCAGGTCGGCGTCCCCAGGTCACGAAATTGGTCGAAGGAGGTCATGTCGCATATCATTCGATTCGGCAGGTCTTCTTGAGTCCATAGGTGGCTTTCCCGACTCGCTAGCTCAATTTGATCGGTACCTAGTTATTGACGAAAAACTCTTATTTCCACACACTTATTTCACACTCTCTTATCACACTCTCTTAAACACACTCTTATTTCCAAAGGTACCCATGAACAAAAGGCAACCTTTCATTTGTAGCTAATTTTGAATGAAATTGGGGAAATTGTAGGTAGGGTAGGTGCATAGGTCCGTCCAGAAAGGCAACCCTGGGATTTACATAATTCTCCACCCCTGTCAAGGTCGCATTAATCATGCAATAGGGGAGAGTGGGGCAATGGCGACACCATAAGCATTTTGCTCAATAGCTTAGCTTTTGAAGCTATTTTATGGTGATTTTGACTGTGGTTATAGCCAAAGGAATAGGCTTTCAGATAGCACCCAGTTTTAGTATCTTAGATCACTGATGGCAGATTCAGAGCCTACGCGAAAATGTGGTGAAAAATGGAGGTGCAAAAAAGCGAGGGGTAATGCCGGCCACTAAGTGCAATAGCACAAAAGTCGAAATATCGTCACTGGTATTCATCCTTAACCCTCGCCGGACCTATTGGTTTTCTACATACGCGCCGGCCGAGGGGGGGGGGGCGGGTACGACCCCCCCCCTCGCCGTTTCGCCCCTGGTGGAGCTAGCGCGACGCGGAAAAAACGAGCGTGTGCGCCGTTACGACACGCAGAGATTGGTACCCGATTTTAAGGTCCTAGGTCAACCGGTGACCTCTGAGGTCAGGTCAAGTGCCCCAAGGTACGGTTCAGTTTTTGGTGAATAACTTCGCAAAAAAACGGCCGCAGAGCGCCGATTTTGGCAGCATCGTGTTCGTCTCGCTCAGGCGCGTCGAATGATATACTTTTTGTCCGGGTCAGGTCAATTTGGGGTGTTGACCTCAGGTCAAGGTCAGGTCAGCACCCCCAGGTCACGAAGTTGGTCGAAAGGGGTCATGTCGCATATCATTCGATTCGGCAGGTCTTCCTGAGTCCATTGGTGGCTTTCCCGACTCGCTAGCTCAATTTGATCAAGAGTTATTGACGAAAAACTAATATGACCTTGATGACGTCATAAATGACGTCACGCAAGGTCAACATTGCAAAAGTGACGCATCTAACCTTGCAAGGAGTGCATCAAATCACGATTCTGTGTGCTTGAGATAGTTGGAGATCGTTCCCGGCGCCATAATAGCAGTTTGAATTTTTCCCCATTGACTTATAATGGTGAGGTCACGAAAATGACCTGACCTCATATGACCTTTAGGAAAAATCCGAGATATACAAGTTGTGGGACTCATAATGGATACTAGATCCTGCAAGTTTCATTTCCCTGTGACATCTCCTCTGGCAGTGAGGGCGTTGCGAAGTTGCGACATCTGAAGACCGTGCAGAGGTTCACTTATGACGTCATAGGTCAGTGACCTGACCTGACCCAAAAATGCGGTTGGTGTCAAAAGATGCGGCTTGGATCAAAGGTCAGGTATGCCAAGTTTCAGCTCTCTATCGCCAGCGTGTTCGGAGCTATCGCGAAAAAACCCTATGGGGGGGGCGGCACCCGCCCCCCCCCCCTCGGCCGGCGAGGGTTAAACCGTTCTTTCGATGGAAATTAAAGTGAGAATTAAGAAACGACAACTGTATTCAGCAGTTAACAGTACAGTCTGTCTTAAAAGTACCGCGCAAAGTGACTGTGGATTAGTGGTGTCAATTACGGAAAATCGGAATACCGATACCAAACCAAATACCAACCAAAACCGTGGGGAAATACCGAAACCAAACCAACTTGGGAAAATGAGGGAAATACCAACTTTATACCGACTTCTTAGCCTCTTATACATTAGTGAGGGTTCATGATACCAACAAAATACCAAACACATTAGGATTGAAATACCAAATGCCAAGTTGGTATCGGTTTGGTATCGGTATACCAAAAAGTTGGTATGCGATTGACATCTCTACTGTGGATCCATCAAGCCTGACTGAGGTAGGGCCTGCTTTAACCTTCGCCCCAGTGGGGGGGGGGGGCATATGTTACCACCCTGTCGCGTTTTTTTCGTATAAATAAAAAACCGCGGCGCGTAGCGCCGCGCCGCTTGGGGTAGCTTTTGGTACATCAATTTTGGACAATGTGTCAAATTTTTGACCCCAGGTCATGTCAGGTCAGGTCACTAGGTCAATTTAACTGACCAAGCCTAAAAAAAAGTTTGCAAGCATGTCCAGCCTGCAGTGTTTGTCAGAGAGGTTTCAAACTTGGTGGATTACATGATGTTATGGGTGCCTACAATTTGTATATCTCGGATTTTTTATATGCGTGACCTAAGGTCAGGTCAGTGGCGTGACCTTTCCATTATAAGTCAATGGAGAAAAACGAAAATGCCTCTAGATCCGTGTGTACGCATAGGAACAGTCCAAATATTTCAGGATAACAATGATTTGGACCACCCGTGACGACCAAAATGTCTTTTTTGCTGATAGCCTCTTGAAAGGTCATCCGAGGTCATTTGAGGCTACAAACAGTTTTTTGCCAATAACTCTCGATTGGAAAGAGATAGAACGCTGGGGTTGGCCTCATTGTGTTTGTCTTGCCGAGACGCATCGACTGATATGCAACATGACCTTTTTCGGTCAGGTCATGCCCTTGACCTGAGGTCAAATTTTGAAGTTGACCTTTCAAGGTCAAATTATAGTTCATTCGACGCGTCTCGGCGAGAGGAACACGATTCTGGCATTAGAAATGACCTAGCTTTTTTTAGTCAAAAGTTATTGTCGAAAAACACTTTTCTTAAAAACAGCTATTTTTGGAGTTTTTGCCCTCTGGAGGCTAAACCGTTGACCTGAGGTCATTTTTGATGATGACCTTATCAAAAGAAGAGTTCAAAAGCTATCGATTGCTTTTCCCAGCGTTTTTCTAGCTATCATAGTTCCTGAGATAATGGCATGTTTTCTGAAAAATATAATGACAATTCGCAAATTTTGACCTTTGATGACCTCTGGTGACCCCAATATTGCTCTAAGATGAAAAATGACCGAAATACTTTCAAACGTACGCATCAAGAGCTATCGACTGCTTTTCACCGCGTCTTTCTAGCCCTCTTAGTTTTTGAGTTAGAGGTGGGTGGTAACATATGCCCCCCCTCACTAGGGCGAAGTTGGCGGAGACCGCCACTGGGGCGCGGGTTAATTTGAAAGTCACCGAACCAATTGACCTAGGGAATGGACGAGGATGTGAATTGCTTCAGTGACTCAAATTTAGTAGGCCCTTCCTCGATCAGGCATGATGGATCCACCGTCACTTTGCGCGGTACTTTTAAGACAGACTGTACACTGCACTGCAACACAACACTGCACTCGCTGCAACACAACAGCGCGGCGCCAACAGAGCAGCAAACTAACACAACCGTAAACACAGCAAGCAAACTAACACAGCCGTAAACACAGCAACCCGAAACGTTGAGCTTTAACGACAGAAGTCGCAAACAAAACCGCGTGGAGTCATTCCGGACACGTGTCCGGTATTACCCCGAGGTCAGCTTTATTTTAAGAAAGCAGGCAGCAGTCAAAGGCATTGCGCCGCAAACGCCTGACATCCAGCAGTCGCCTAAGAAAGGCTTAATTGAAGGTCATTGCAAAGCAGCACTTCTGAAAATGCGTTAACACATTTCACAGTCAGCAAATAGATGCAACAAAAATTAAAAATCAGATACAAAAAACACATTTAACGCTATAAAAATGAAAATAATGGAGCTACCGTGACAACCTTGCACCACGTGCTAGAATGGCGCTCAACTGAAATGTAAACAACATCAGCTGATTAGTGATGGACAAAGTACTCACTAGAGATGGGTGGCCGGCATTACCCACCGTCCGCCATTGCCCCACTCTCCCCTATGTATATTCACCAGATGCACACCCACCTTTTTCGCAAAAAAACTTCTTATATCCATCTCATTTCTAAATTCTACCTGACTCAAACCAGATCTTCATCTTAGTGCCTTGACCAGATCCACAAAACGAAACCGGTTGGCGCAATAAACATATCAGATATGTCTCTTCTGCGCTGAATTTGAAAATTTACGCGCTAAATCGCTAAACTGCTGCATGTTTTAGACGGTGTTAATTCTACCTGCAAAGCACAGATTATCCGTGACAGAAACGGCACCGTGGCCCATCTTTTTGTGTTTAGTTGGTTGAATCGTGTTTAAAGTAAAGAGCGAATCTCAGACATTGGAGTGCTCTCAAAAGTGGGGGGGCCACACACATTACTGGCCCCACCCCCACTCCAAAATGGTGGGGTGGCCGTGGCCCCCCTGGCCCCCCGGTTCCTACGCCTATGTTGTTATGTTACAATTTTCTTATGAGAGAACGACTAAAATTGTATTGGTCATGCATAGGCGGTGTCAGGGCACCTATGTTGGGAGGTAAAAAATAACCCCCCTTTTTGGACGCCTGGATCCACCTATTATAGCAAAAACGTGTCAAAAGAGGATGCACAATAACTTTGTATATGTTATCACATGATACCTTTCATTCACTGTTCGTAAAACTGGTGCAGCATCGTGATCTTCGCCCAAATGACTCGCTTCACGAATAGGACCCCCAATTCCCAGTGCTCTGGAGCCGCCCCTGGTAAAGTTATGAACTTGAAATTTTCAGGGAATGTGCCCAATTTAGTTTTAGGAAAAGTCAGAAAATTTTAGCATCGTAGCTTCAGCGGTTTCGGAGATATTCTCGAAAAACCTGAGGGGTGGATAAAAACAACCCCCCTGCCACTAATAGGGTTAATGATTGTTGTGCCCTATCCAAGGAATGACACTTTCTGGCGGACCTGAGGGTGTGGCTGACCCGAGACCTGTACTTTCCGCTCAGGAGGTGCGTCCCCTCATGGACCGCCTGTGCGACGAGCTGCAGGGTCTGAAGGAAGCCGTCATAACTCTGACGGAACAGCAGTCGCCGCCGGCGGCCGGCCCGCACACCCGGCCCCAGAGTTCCGCGGAGCTGCGGGACGCGGTGCTGGCCGACGCTCGTGGCATGCTGAATGAGGAGCTGCGGCAGCTGCGCCGAGAGCTGCAGGAGCTGAGCGTGAGTCAGGAGGACGGCGATTCAGGCCCAGTGGCAGGCCCATGTCACTCCACTTTTGATGACATCATAAGGGGGCCTCAGGACAATCATGGCGCGGTGCGCCACAATCGCTTCAAAGCTACTTGCCAACAGTTGCCATTTTTGAAAATATCATTTTGAAATAAAGTTACAAATAATAAAAATATTTTAATAAAGTTGTTGAATAAATCGATACCATATCTAAAAACTTACTGAAAAATGATTTATTCATAGTAAAAATATAACCTCGATGCGTTTTCACGTTGATTTCCTGCAACTGCAGAGGATTTTTAAATCGTCTATATCTTCAAAACCGGTCATTTCTTAGCATATTGCTGCTCTTTTTTATCGCTAGAAAATTAGTTGGACTTTCCATTGACATCAACGGATGAGCGATATGTGTAGAGTGTCACCAACAATTTTCAAATTAGATTAGTCATTTTTACGTTGTAAAGGAATGGAGTACCCCTTGCGAGCATCAGGGGTGACGTCACTCAGGATCTGTCTCTTATTGGTCGGCGGGGGAGTGACTGTACCTTCTATATGTAGATGGCCTTGCCCAGTTGGACGGAGCGCTGCTGGTCCGTCAAACCCAGTGGTGGGTGGCCTGTGCAGTCACAACAATGTCCGATCGCATCATCAATGGCAGAGACCTTCACTGTGCTGACCATGTTTATCTCACTGATCCTTGTTGATTTAACCATCGCCGGTATGTTGTGTTGGATCTCATCGCATGGCGAGGAACGATAGTGTTGTGCATTTTCTGGTATGTCGTGCTCCTAGGTAGTGTCCCGTTGTCACTGAAGTCTCCACCTCTGACACTCCTTCTGCCCCTTCGGCAGCTGGAGGTGGACCAGATGAAGAACCAGAAGCAGCTGGAGGTGGACCAGATGAGGAACCAGAAGCAGCTGGAGGTGGACCAGATGAAGAACCAGAAGCAGCTGGAGGTGGACCAGATGAAGAACCAGAAGCAGCTGGAGGCGCAGGCGGCACCACAGCTGCAGCAGCTCCCCATACCGCAGCTGTTTTCCTGCGATGGCAAGGCCCCTGCCACGACGGCTCCCACCATCTTCGGGTCGGGGTTTAGTAAGACGACGCCCGCTACCAGGACGGTCTGTAGCACGGACGGCGGTCTCAGGTTCGGCCAGGCACCGTCGGCCTGGACTGGGCGTACCACCACTGGCGCCTCTGCTGCCGCCTCCACTGGCTTCAGCTTTGGACCGACCACAGCGCCACCTGCTCAGCCGAGCACGCCGAGCTTCTCGTTCCGTCCGCCGACCGCCGAGGGCGCCACCAGCACACCGGCCAAGGTCAGTCAGTCAGAACACAAACCGTCAGCCAGCTACGAACGATGCCCCCAGGGCTCACTACCTTTCCCGAGGCACGTGGCTAATAGTTTCTCGCCCCACTCTGTCCATCACTATTGTCTGCCCAGATAAAAGTACCACACTCTCCATTTCGTCGCCAGTTCGCCTGCTAACCTTGCTCATGGAATGTTCAGCTTATAGTGACTATATCTGCCTCCATCGATATCCGCACCGTTCCATCGTTTCCATCCTCAGGATAGTCAAATCCTTCTCCTCCACGCCGCAACCCCCTGATCCGGGCTGGACGGGCAACTTTATCCCATGCGGGATTGCCCGTAAGCCGAGCACCGCCCGTAGCCGGGTGCGGTGAGTGCTGGGGAGCCCCAAATTCCCCAGCAGGGCGTGGAAATCCAGGACCCCCAGCGGAGCGCGGACTTATAATCGGGTATCATTTACTGCGTATGGTAACAGGGCACACGCTCGTTTTTTCCGCAACGCTCTTGAGCTCCATCAGGAGCATAACGGCGAGGGGGTTCGTAACCCCCCTTCCATCGGCCGGCACGTGCGAGTATGTAGAAAATATAAAAGGTCCAGCGAGGGCTAAGTGTTCCCATGGCCTTGTCATTGTTCCTTTATTTTATATTGTATTTTCATGTGTTCAATTACTGATGTGTTCAACTGGATGTCTGAACTAAAGCCGCCCCTGCACCGGTTTCCATCGCAGGCAAGGGGCGAGAACACCACGGAGGAGGAGCCTGTCAGCTCGACCTCTGGCTCTGGCGCCGCGGTCTCCACTACCACCTCCAGCGTCGTGACCTCTGCCCCCGCCGTCGGCGCCGGAGCCGCCACCCCCAACAGTTCCTTCCATTTCAAGGCTGCCCCGTTTGCGTTCGGCGTCGACCAGGGTAAGGTCGTCGAGGCGACTCCCAAGGCCACGTTCGAGTTCGGCCTCTCGTCCGCAGCCTCGTCGCCGTTCAAATTCTCATTCGGCGGCGACGCTGACAAGTCTGGATCCTCGATCTTCGGAGGAGCGGCGGCAGCGGACACAAAGACCACGTCAATATTTGGAGGTTCATCGGGTAACAAGGCAACTTCGATCTTCGGAGGAGCGTCGTCAACTAAAACCAAACCTGTGTCTATTTTCGCAGGAACGCCCTCTTCCGAAACCAAAACCACGTCCATCTTTGGTACCCCATCGGTGTTCGGAGGAAAGGGAACTGACAAAGCCGTATCTCTCTTCGGTGGGGCGACCACCACCGACAAGACATCCAAAGAAGACCAGATATTCGGCGGCTCCGGGACTGACTCCAAGCCCGCCTCTCTGTTCGGCGGCTTTGGTGTGGCCTCTGGTGCCCAGTCGTCTACGTTCGGCTCCAGCTCCTCAGTGTTAAGTGGATGGCCGTCGTTCGGTAGCGCCGCGTCTAAGTCGGCCTCCAGCGAGAGCGGCGCCACGGCCAAGCCACCTACTCCGGCCAAGCTGTCCGCCCCCAAGGCGCCTGAGCCGGCCAGCTCCGTCTCGGCCCCGTCAGCACCACCGGCCGCCGCCACTGGATCGACTGGTGCCGGCGCTGCGGCCACCCCGGCCCCGTCAGCACCACCGGCCGCCGCCACTGGATCGACTGGTGCCGGCGCTGCGGCCACCCCGGCCCCGTCAGCACCACTGGCCGCCGCTACTGGATCGACTGGTGCCGGCGCTGCGGCCACCCCGGCCCCGTCGGCACCACCGGCCGCCGCCACTGGATCGACTGGTGCCGGCGCTGCGGCCACCCCGGCCTCGTCAGCACCACCGGCCGCCGCCACTGGATCGACTGGTGCCGACGCTGCAGCCACCCCGGCCCCGTCGGCACCACCGGCCGCTGCTACTGGATCGACTGGTGCCGGCGCTGCGGCCACCCCGGCCCCGTCAGCACCACCGGCCGCCGCCACTGGATCGACTGGTGCCGGCACTGCGGCCACCCCGGCCCCGTCGGCACCACCGGCCGCTGCTACTGGATCGACTGGTGCCGACGCTGCGGCCACCCCGGCCCCGTCAGCACCACCGGCCGCCGCTACTGGATCGACTGGTGCCGGCGCTGCGGCCACCCCGGCCCCGTCAGCACCACCGGCCGCCGCCACTGGATCGACTGGTGCCGGCGCTGCGGCCACCCCGGCCCCGTCGGCACCACCGGCCACTGCTACTGGATCGACTGGTGCCGGCGCTGCGGCCACCCCGGCCCCGTCAGCACCACCGGCCGCCGCCACTGGATCGACTGGTGCCGACGCTGCAGCCACCCCGGCCCCGTCGGCACCACCGGCCGCCGCTACTGGATCGACTGGTGCCGGCGCTGCGGTCACCCCGGCCCCGTCGGCACCACCGGCCGCCGCCACTGGATCGACTGGTGCCGGCGCTGCGGCCACCCCGGCCCCGTCGGCACCACCGGCCACTGCTACTGGATCGACTGGTGCCGGCGCTGCGGCCACCCCGGCCCCGTCGGCACCACCGGCCACTGCTACTGGATCGACTGGTGCCGGCGCTGCGGCCACCCCGGCCCCGTCGGCACCACCGGCCACTGCTACTGGATCGACTGGTGCCGGCGCTGCGGCCACCCCGGCCCCGTCGGCACCACCGGCCACTGCTACTGGATCGACTGGTGCCGGCGCTGCGGCCACCCCGGCCCCGTCGGCACCACCGGCCACTGCTACTGGATCGACTGGTGCCGGCGCTGCGGTCACCCCGACCCCGTCAGCACCACCGGCCGCCGACACTGGATCGACTGGTGCCAGCGCTGCGGTCACCCCGGCCCCGTCGGCACCACCGGCCACTGCTACTGGATCGACTGGTGCCGGCGCTGCGGTCACCCCGACCCCGTCAGCACCACCGGCCGCCGACACTGGATCGACTGGTGCCAGCGCTGCGGCCACCCCGGCCCCGACCAATGGGTGAGGCTCCGAACTAGGGATGTCTATTTTAGAAAACATATGTCCAATGTCTGTCCATTTTCCAATGCTTACGTCGACCGTTTGTCCAAAAATGTCCAAGCCAGCCATTTGTCCAAAGATGTCAGACATCTACGCAATAGTTTACACTCAACACCGTTATTTAACCCGCGCGGGGCTGGGGTCTCCAGCCGAACGCGCGGGGCTGGGGGGGGTAAATTTTACCCCCCTGTTATCTCCCGAACTAATGGTCCGATTTGGAAAATTCAAACGCCAATCGAAAGCTCTCATCACGAACTACTAAAAACATGTACTTAATTTAAAGTTTGAGGTCAAGGTCAAGGCCAGGTCAAGGGTACAAATTGCAAGTTTCTACAGTATCGGCCTTGCACCGTAGTTGCCGAAGAATGGAGTCATGGACTGAGACTGATCGCCCAAAACGTGTTCTTAGGCTACCAAGACAATATTCGTTGCCTACAATATCATTCAGAGGTCAAGGTCAAGGTCAGGTCAGGTCAGGTCAGGTCACCAAAAAAACAAAATATAGAAAAGGGCATGTGCGACACATGTTTTAACTTTTATGGGTCATTTTACTCATAGAATTCAATAGGCACACTCAATAAGTGATATGCACCACCTCTGGATGAATTTCAGGTCGAGGTCAGGTCAAGGTCAGGTCAAGTGAGGTCAAATTTTGAAGTTGGTTGTTAACCCTATTAGTGGCAGGGGGGTTGTTTTTATCCACCCCTCAGGTTTTTCGAGAATATCTCCGAAACCGCTGAAGCTACGATGCTGAAATTTTCTGACTTTTCCTAAAACTAAATTGGGCACATTCCCTGAAAATTTCAAGTTCATAACTTTACCAGGGGCGGCTCCAGAGCACTGGGAATTGGGGGGTCCTATTCGTGAGGCGAGTCATTTGGGCGAAGATCACGATGCTGCACCAGTTTTACGAACAGTGAATGAAAGGTATCATGTGATAACATATACAAAGTTATTGTCATCCTCTTTTGACACGTTTTTGCTATAATAGGCGCATCCAGGCGTCCAAAAAGGGGGGTTATTTTTTACCTCCCAACATAGGTGCCCTGACACCGCCTATGCATGACCAATACAATTTTAGTCGTTCTCTCATAAGAAAATTGTAACATAACAAGACCATTGCCACCCTTTTTAGAAACAGTACCAACAAAAACCTTATTTACTATACTTTTTGTGTACCCCCAATCTCAATGATCTGTATCCGCCTATGATTTTTGAAAATGCATATTTTTAGGATCCATGTGAATTCCTGGTTCATTCTCTATCGATCGGCAAAAGTTGCGTTAAGATTGGTTCAGAAACCTGGCCGTGATAAACAGTCTAAAATGTATCTGCAATTTGCCCGTTTTTACCCCCCTCTACCCCCCTATTGACATTTTTTAATTTTATTTTTTTTTAGAAATGTAGATCTCGTTGAGCCAAATCGAATGCCGTTTGAATTTTAAAAATCGGCCGGTTAGATCTCGAGATATCAAGGGGGGGTCGTAAACAGCCCCCCCTGCCACTAATATGGGGTAGCCAGGAGCCTGCCACTAATAGGGTTAAGGCCAAAAAAGGTGTCTATCTGATGCAGTTTTTCACGGCAAATTGAATGGTGCTATTTTTGTTTCCGTACGAGGTCTAGAACTTCCAAAAAAGTCATTTTTCAAAAAAAATTGTGTGTCGTGACGTCATAAAGTTTTGAATAACTCCCACATTTTTGAACCAATTCTTCTAAAATTTGGTATGTAGGTGCACATAGACCACTTCTCTGACATATATTCCGTTTTTTTTCGATAGACTCAAAATTTTTTGATTTTTTAATGATTTTCCCAAAAAAAGTCAGTTTTATGAAAAAAATTAGGTCAAAATCAAAAATTTTCAAAAAACCGAGATAGCCATTTGATAGACAAAGTAAAATTACGCATAACCTTTTTTGTTACGTCTTGATTCCTTTAAAAATGAAGATGTTAGCGCCGTTTGAACTTTTGCCGTTTTTGAGGCGAAAATGGCGAACATGACGTCACTAAAACGTCAATTTCTCAAAAATTTTCCGACGGATTTCGCTCAAATTTTCAGGGAACGTGTCAAATTGATGTAAGAAAAGGTACTGAAAGTTTGGCGGCGCTGCGCGCCGCCGTTTTTGAGATATCGCAAAAATTCGCGAGGAGGGGTAAAATTTACCCCACACCCCCGCGCGGTTAACCCTCGCCCTGGCAGCGCATTTTTCATAACACGGCCTGGCAGGGGGTCGCATCGACCCCCCTCGCAATTGGCTCCTATGGCACCTAGAAACACCAAATTTGGTGGGTAGGTGAACCCCCTGGAGTTCTCGCCCCTGTGCAAATTTGGTTGCTCTAGGTCAATATTTAGGGGGTTTTGGGGGGTATAAATGTAAAAAATTCGCTAAAAACTGGTCAAACGTTTTCGCTTATAACTTTTGATCTAATTAAGATAGAGCAAAAAGAAAAGCACCAGTGAACTCAGCACGTCAAGGCGCGTCGAATGATATACTTTTTAGCTTGATTAAGTGTACTTAACCCGCGCCCCACGGGGGGGGGGCTATTTATAGCCCCCTCCCGTTTTTTTGCAATAACTTCCAAACCGCTTGACGTATCGACGCCAAAATTTCAGTACCTTTGGCTGCATCAATTTGACACCTTGTGTCAAAATTTGAACTTCGTACCTACTATAGGTCGGCCGGAAATGACGTCAGAGTGACGTCATGTTCGGCCGATTTCGACGCAAAACATTGAACCACGGCAATCGCTCCCAAGAGCTCAGTTTTTAAGCTAGATCCAATTTCTTTGCATGAGAGGGCTCAGAATAGACTGCGCTATCAAACTGCAATCTCGGATTTTCAAATTTAAAAAAATGGAAATTTTATATAATAAATCTCAAAGTTTATATTTTTACATTTTTTTCACATTTTTTTTTTTACTTTTCGAAAAAAAAACGGAATATATGTGATAGAACGCATTATTATGACTAACTCTAGCAAGTTTTAGCTAAATATCTTCAAAAATGGCCAAGTTATACGCATTATTCCAAAAATTACCAATTATTAATTTTTCAAATCATTTTTTTAGCATGAATTTGACATCGTACGCCAATATAAATAGCACCATCGTGCTCGTGAGCTCAAACTGCATCCAATAGACACCTTTTGTGTTGAAAAATTTTAACTTGAAAATTTGACCTTTTTTGACCTGAAAGTGACCTGACCTGAGCTAAATTTGTCTCAAAATGACCTCGAAAGACACAGACGACATCAAAATCGAAATCTCTGACCTTAATGGATCATAAAACATGTGTCACGTGACCGACGGATGATATAATATTTTCGTGACCTGTGATGACCTGACCTTAACCTGAAAATCAAAGTACAAGTTTGGTACCCTCAGAGTATCTAGAGCATCTGTTCACGAGTGTGTGAACCAAAAATGAGCCTGATCTGACTTGTAAGACGGCGACCAGAGCCCAAAACGTGAAGAAACCAAAATGCTAATAATTTTTATTTTAACCTGACCTGTGACGTCATCGGTGACCTCGAGGTCAATGAAATTAGGTTTCGCTCGACAGTTTTTCCGGGGCTATCAGACGCCGTTTGAATTTTGACGATCGGCCCAGTAGTTTCGGAGTTAGGAGGGGGGGCTATGAATAGCCCCCCCCCCCCCAGTAGGGCGTGTTATACGCAGACCCCAGTTGGGCGCGGGTTAAAGTTTTTCTTGAATTTTAAGTAAACTTAAATTAATAGATTAAGTTCAAGTTAACCAAATTGCATCATATCGCATATCATTCGATTCGGCTGATCACCAGGAACACAATGATACCATTTTTTAAGCTCTAGCGTCATTATGTGCCAAGTTATTAGCAAAAACGTCATTTGACCTCATTTGACCTGTTTTGACCTGACCCATGGATATGCACACCAAACAAAGAAGCACCAAGTGACCTGCTGTTAAGTACTGTAGTTTCAAAGCACAAAAGTGATAGAACGAAGCGGATATCTCCAGTATTTTCCGAATTTAGTATTTTCCCATAGGCTTAACATTACGACGTAATGACCTCTAAATGACCTCAGGTCAGTGACCTCAAAAAACCCGAACTATATGTTATACAACTCGGTGAACTTAGCACATCCTGAAAGTTTGAAGGAAATCAGTCGAAAACTGTGAGTTGGACAGGTGCAAAAAGAAAATTAAAATTTGACCATGACCTTGTACCGGTTTTTCTGACCTGGTGACCTGACCCAAGGTCACCCGGACCTGAAATTTTTAGGTCATATGTGAAAAGGCTGCCCCATAGGCTTTGCCAAATTTAGCGGCGCTGGGTGCCGCCGTTTTTACGCTATCTTCGAAAAACCTTAGGGGGTCGCATCGACCCCCCCCCCTGCCAGGGCGAGGGTTAACCCTCGCCCATGTGGGGGGTAGCTACACGCCGAACCGTTTCAGATAGCCTGCTCAAATTTTTAGTACCCTTTGGGGCATTTCTTGCGCAACTTTTGTTTTTGTCAAGGTCATGTCAGGTCACGGAGTTATGATGTCATAAAGGGAACAACCTCCAGCCAGATTTACGCTAAATTTGAGATTGCTTCACATTGGTATAAATGCCGACTGACCTGACACACTGATGGATTGTTTTAGAATCACAACTGGCTGATTTGACATTGGCACAATGTCTGTTGACATTTTGAAGGTTACTAAAGGTCAGGGTAAGTTCAGTGACCTCGATTGACCTATAATGACTTCTTGCACTTGTAGGCCTTTTCGGGGTATTTTGATGCCCTGAATTCGAACTTGCTATCCATTTCAGGCATCGTCGGATGTCTCTTGTAGTTCATATTGGGTCAGGGTCAGGTCAGTGACGTCACACGCCTGACGTGACTCAATGCACAAATGACCTTGCAGACTTCCGATGCTCCCAACGCATCATTTTTAGAGTTATGATATCGAAATACACACCAAACGATAGAGAATTGA